AAACCCCCCTTTCTTCATGTGTTCAATACTTTTTCCCTGTGCCATTCCACATTATTACAAATAACTTCATTTCTGGACATTTATGCTTTGATTTCTTTGTATGTATGGATCATTAGGGTTGTTACCGACATCTGGTGAAAATTTCATGTCATTAGCACCTCTAGTAATATGTTTACTGAGAAAAAAGTTGACGTGTTCAATACTTATTTTACCCACTGTAGATGGAGCCTAACATAGCAATCCTTCATCCCATACTAAAATCCAGTATTTTACATCAGTCATTACCTGAATGTGCCCCTCTCTACATCCTGTCCACTGAGACGCACGTGGACTCCTTCTTTCAGCAGCGAGCCGAAGGCCATGTACTCGCTGAGAGCCCAGTCACAAACTCGCTGACTCACCATGTTGGCTCGACCCTTCAGGATACGACTGATGCCTGCAGGGTGATGGGACCAAACAAAAAGGGTTAACAGAGTCAGCTCGGTCAGAGAACGTTCAGAACAACCTGGGCATGAAGATGGAGATCACCTCCGTGAGCTGAGAAATCTTGCACAGGGACTGAAGCTGCGATGTTTCCAATGTGACTTAGTTCATCTTCACTGATGCCCGTCGATGGGCAGCTCATAGATTTAGGTTGACCCTCCAGGGTGAAAAAGCCTAAAAATTCAGACACAGAATATGTTCCATTCATTTTACCACAGATGTTTTATTCACCACACAATGAAAAATGCCAAATATACTGAGGTTTATTGTAAATAAAACAAAATCAAAACATCTAAAAAACTTTGAGAAGGTCCTTTGGATGGATTCTTTTTCGGGGAAATGTTTCATTTCTTCTCCAAGAGACGTCTTCAGTGTGAGGAGTTGGAGGTAAGCTCAGCCTTAAAGCAGCACTTTCATATTTGTGGACAAACAAGTTTTCTGGGGACAAAATTGGACATGCCAGAGCTCAGCCAAAAGAATGGTCCAGCACAGAAGAGCTGCATCATCAGGCCAGGACTCTGCAGTTTACACTCATCTGCAGGCCAGCGGTCACTCTTTCAGGGATGATATTCTCATCCTTGATAGAGAGGAATGTTGGTTTGAGAGAGGAGTAAAGGAAGCCATTTTTATGAAGAAAAACCACCTGTTGATCGTTAGGCTGAGGGTCCTCTTTTGCATGTGAACAAACTGTTGAGGCTGAGTTTTCCTGGAACTCCTCAGACTGGAGAAGTCATATGGAGAAGGGACAAAATGTTTTTTCAACAAAGAAGAACACCTCCAAAGGACCTCCTTAACTTTTTTTTTGATTTTTCTATCTGAATTAATCAGATGCTTTAGGACAAAATCTGAACAAATTGAGAAAATCTGGAATGAGTAAATGTTTGACTGAGCAATGACTAAAATTTAAATGACCAATAAATACATATGACTTGTTCAGTCTTGTGATGGGCAGTGATGTTTGATTATCTATAGTCTTGTTAAAATAGGTAAACTTGAAGAAATAACCCAACCGAGAGAACCTATGGTTTTGCTTTTAACATCAACACCATCAATTTTTTCCCTAACTGTATTTTTTTTAGTTGGGTCACAGTTTTTGACTCAAAGCCTACCACTAATCTTTTATTTTGAAAGGATTAAAAAGTGGAAACTATATTTCTGGGTGAGCTCAGATCATTGCCAGAAAATAAGCAGCTCATCCCTTTTGATCCAATACAGGTCATTAAAGACATCTGGCTAACAACATTCTGATATAGAAATGAGTCACTGCTACATATAAATAGTGTTTTTGCTTCCTATCATAGGCTGTGTCTTTTATTTGTTCTTTGTGTTTTAGTTTCCTTGTTCCTGTCCTCGATGTTCTCTAGTGCCATTACGCCCTCAGTCTGCTTCCTGCCTGTCATTCAATCATCCACCCTCACATGTTGCTGCTCCTCTATCAGCCCAGCTGCTTTCCATATTCTCATCAGCCCTTGCTCTATATATTCAGCTCTCTGCCTCCACTCCTCAGTTCAGCATCATGTCCTCCCCCTGTTGTCCTCTTGATTCATAAGAATTTTGTCGCCACAATGGCAGTTGAGTTTGTTCTTAAGTTCTTTGTCTCTGTCCACTCTTTGGACCAATTGGTCCACAGATAGGTGTCATCATTGATGAAAAACTGACATGGAAAAATCATATCAATAATTTAAGAGACAAAAATAGCTAAATCTATTGGAGTCCTGTACAAAGTAAGAGAACTGTTCACTGATAAAGCACTACTTATGTTGTATAACGCTATAATTGTTCCACATTTAATTTACTGTATTGAAGTCTGGAGTATAGCTTGTAAAACTATCCCAAATCCTATTTTTATTTTACAGAAAAGAGCTCTAAGAATTATTACTAGAAAAAATTACAGCGATCCATCGAATATATTGTTTTATGAATTGAAATTATTAAAATTCTATGATTTGGTCGATTATAATATTTTGCTGTTAATGTACAGAGCTTATAAAGGTGTGTTACCTTCTAACATACAAGCAAATGTTTAAAGAGAGAGCTGTTATTATCTTAAGGGAATTGAAATGTTTGTGGAACCCTGGTTTCATACGAGCCTGAAGCAGCGATCCACTGTAATCCAGGGAATAAGTTTGTGGAACAGCCTGGAAGATGAGGTTAAAAATGCCAGATCTTTGTATACTGTATATTAAAGAGAATGATTAAAATCTAGTATTCTGAAGAAATATGGAGAAGCATAAGTGAATTCATGCAAAGTGTTGTTTTGAGTTGGTGTTTTAAAATTAGCTGTTTTTATTTTTTGTGTTTTCAGTTGTTTTGATTTTTGTTGTAATTTACTTTTATTTTGAACATACTGTATTTTGGGTATAAAAAAGGGGCAGATAGTATAAGATTTATTCTTCTGCTGCCTTTCATTTTATTTGATCTTATTTTGATTGCATGTTTTTTTTCTTTGTTGTGTATATAATTGTCTGTCATGTGTATGTGTTTCTCCAGACAGATGTTCAAAAGTGCAAATTTCGTTCTGCATTGCATCTTGATGTTGTGATTGAATGACAATAAACGATTCTTGATTGAATTGTTACAAATAAAATGAATAAATTTCGAAATAAAAGAATAAAAATAATTGCTGACAAATCTCGACACTTCCATCCATAATCCAGGTAATATCTGCGTTACCTTACCTGGCCAGGGGGAGTCCAGCCAATGCTTGATGTGGAGGATCTTCTCATCTTTGGAGCGAACGTAGGCTTCTTCACAGATTTTGTCGTACCTGACTACTTCCTCCTGAAAGACACACAAACAGCTGAGTGAGAACTTTCTGGATCTGTATAGACCAAATATGTCTTAATTAGAACTCCTTACTTTGAATATTTAATAGAAATGACTTTTAAAGACATACAAATTAAATGAACAGATACGGGAGTAAAGAAGCAGAGTTGTGAAGTAACTAAGTACAAATACTTTATTACTGTACTTAAGTAGAAATTTTGGTTATCTGTACTTTACTTGAGTAATTATTTTTCAGCATACTTTTTACTTTTACTCATTACATTTTTACACAATTTTCTGTACTTTCTACTCACTACATTTCTTAAAAAGGTAAGAAGCAGAAAGTCATTACTCCTATTTCATTCTGAGTTATTACTTAAAAAAATACTATCCTGATAAATTGTGTCTTCTGGATCGAGTGAATTTAATTGTGGTTGGATGAGAAATACCATTCTGACACACTATTAACTTGTACACAACCCATCAGAGCTGCACGCCGTTAGAAAAAATATTTTTTGGAGAAGTCACCTCCCAATAAATGTCATTTTGGAAAATCTAACTGCTCACTTTTACTCAGTACTTTTACTTTTAATACTTAAGTAAATTTTGTGTCATAAATTTACTTTTGATACTTAAGTACAAAAAATATCAGATACTTTAAAACTTTTACTCAAGTAATATTTTTAGAGAAGACTTTAACTTTTACCAAAGTATTTTTATGATAAGATACTTGTACTTTTACTCAAGTATCACTTTGAGGTACTTTATACAACAACATAAAGAAGTAGAACTTTTTTGTTGATTTCATTGTTTTAGACAAGTTTTTTTTTTGTCACGTCTGAATGATCAAATTGTTCAGGTTCTTCACTATATGTTACAAGGATCAGCATCCATAAATCTTTCTGCTCCAGTTAAAAGTCCTGTAGAATCTAATTATGGTGCCAAAAGTCAGAGCCTAACTATTGAAAACTACTTTCATGATTAAAAGAATACCCAGACAAAGTTGCATCTGTTCGTTCAACCTTCCTGCTTCAGACAGTAAACAGCAGCTTCACCTCGTAGTCCTGTGTTGTAACAACTCCTTCAGCAATGAGCTTGTCTGCAAACGTCTGCAGGACCTTGTTCTGCTTCTTGATCTGCTTGTACATCAGAGGCTGGGTGAACATGGGCTCATCCATCTCGTTATGACCGTTACGCCTGTAACACACCTGAGATTAGAGGTGAGAGTTTAGCCATGTTTGTGTTGACATTTCACATTTGGCTGAACTTTAACATAAGCTATTAATGGATCTTAAAATCATTTTAAATCACCAAAAAACAAAATATTCAGAGTAATAGCCAATGTGCCACAGCTGTTACTGACGTACAGTAGCCTACTTCTGTTAAAATTCAGGCCACGAGCAACACTTCTGGGTCCTGCCTACTGCGCATTGTTTTTAGCGTTAGCTCCTAGAACTAGTCCATGAAAAAGTCACAAAGTTACTGGTATAAAAAGTGAGCTCTGATGTGAGCCGTTGTGTCCACCAACCAGTAGGTACAGGAGAGTAGTTAGTTTTTCTCCATATTCCTCTTGATGAGGAGTTAAAGGCACAGTGTGTAGGATTTTGTCAATCCTTTTAGCCGAAATTGAGATAATCACTAATGACAATAATAAAAAACATGTCTAATCATTGCAGACAAAGACCTTGTTTTATTATTTTTACCTTATAKAAAGCTGTTTATATCTCCATGGTCGCGGGTCGCCACTACAGGCAGCCGCCATCTTGTCTACGAAGGCTCATGAAGGACAAACTGTGGTGGTGGCGTCAAAAACAGTTTTAGTTGTAATACTATGAATGTAATATTTGTTGTCTGTCATTGTAGCTGGGATAATTTTACTTATTACAGCTCATAATCTTACCACTTGAAACATCACTAGCCCTGAAGCTGCTGGTAGACATCGCGGTTGGAATTATCAAAGGTTTTTACACCTGAGAGACACCGTAGCAACTCCTTTGCGTTTGGAAGTGGGGGGTGGGGGTAGGGGGAGGACCAGGGAGGATGATTCAGCCACTCAACCACTAGATGTCGCTGAAAACAACAAATCCTACACACTGTGCCTTTAAGGCAACAACAATGGAGCTATACGCAGGGAAAACCTAGCTATAAAAGCTCACGCTCGTGTTTGTAATCGGCATTTCAAGCCTGAGGATATTCAAGAGCCAGCATCAGAAATGAAAAGATGGAGATTAAAGAAGGGAGCTGTACAATTACCCCCTTCACTGCCAAGACCCAAGAGAGCAAAGACCATCTCCAGAGGACAGCAAGGAGGAAGCTAACACAACAGTGAGTATGTAGACTAAATATTTGGATTACGGTTATGCCGCTACTCCAGACTCTGCAGTTGTGGATTTAGTGCTGGAGGTAAATGTTATTATCCGGGAGGAAATCCATCAGCTACGTGAAGAGTTTGAGAGCCTGATGCTGAGGCAGCTGTTCAGGATTCACCGTTTTGCTGCTCACGACAAGAACATTAGATTCTTCGCAAGGTAGGTGTGCACATTTGTGTTGTACAGAGTATGAAATTATTTTAGGCAACTTTTTCATGAGTTTTATGCAAAAGTAAAAACTTGTTAGAGTGTATATTACAGCATAGCCACAACCTGAGCTTCCCTCCCCTCCTGTACCGAGAGCAGCCGAACCTCCGCCTGAAAATCATTTCCTGATTTCAGTGCACCGTCGGGCCAGCATGATCCAAACCAAAGAAGTAGCCCATCGATTTAAAGTCCAGACTCTGCTCTTTCCAACAATATAAGTGTCACTGCTTTACATGAAAAGTTCACAGAACAAGCAGCCAAGGAATAGTGAAAGAGGTTTAATTCTGGACATCTTTCCTTTGTTTTTTTTATGGGTTTAATCCGCTTTAGAGTAATTTTTTCCACTTGGCTGGACTTTTGTCAACTTGTACGTCTCCTGTGTTAATACTGGTACATGTAATATGCAAATGTGGACAGCAGCTACTGAATAAAAAAGCCTATGCTAACACTGTTGCCTGCGAACCAGAAGTGCTGTCTGTGTCCAAAAACTAAGGAAGTCCGTGGCATAGAGGCTTTTCAATCTGTAAGGTCCTGTGGTCAAAAGACTTTTTTTCTATAAACCTTCACTACAGAACGAGTGTCAAAGTGTATCCTAATCAAGACTTTTCTTTAACATTAATGCTATAAAGTTTAAACTCATGCATCAGTCAGGTGTGTTTGTTTACCAGGTCTATGACAACATCTTTATGGAAGGTGTTCCTCCACTCGGCTGCTACGCTGCACACATACATCACAGCCTCGGGGTCATCAGCGTTGACGTGAAAGATGGGGGCATTGACCACTCGAGCCACATCCGTCGGGTATGGAGATGAACGAGCCATCCTGGGATCTGTGGTGAATCCAATCTGCACGGAGAAGGCCAAAGACTTTCAGGAAGTCAGCACACAACAGCAGCCTTACAAAGTGTGCAAATATTTGCATGCATAATACTGATGGTGACTCTGTGACATTTTTAAGATACAATTTGTCCCACATTATATTAAACATGTTCAAAACTGAATGAGGTGCATGCGAAATCTAAAAAACCACAGCAAACATCATGAGACATTATTAAAACTACCTTCTAGTTGCACGATATATCGTTTGAGCATCGTCATTTCAACATATGTGTGTGCAATAGCCACACTGCACTGTTTTTTACAGTGGGGAAAATAAGTATTTAGTCAGTCACCAATTGTGCAAGTTCTCCCACTTAAAAAGATGAGAGAGGCCTGTAATTGACATCATAGG